AATGTTCATTGCAGCACTATTTACAATAGCTAATACATGGAAGCAACCTAAATGTCCATTGACAGAGGAATGTATAAAGAAGACGTGGTACATATATACAGTGGAATATTACTCAGCCATAAAAAAGAATGAAATAATGCCATTTGTGGCAACATAGAGGACCTGGAGATTATCATACTAAGTGAAGTAAGTCAGACAGAGAAAGCCAAGTATCATGTGATATCACTTATATGCAGAATCTAAAAAAAAATGATACAAATGAACTTATTTACAAAACAGAAACAGACTCACAGACTTAGAGAACTTATGGCTACCGGTGGGGAAGGATGGGGGAGACGGATAGATTGGGAGTTTGGGATTGACATGTACACACTGCTATATTTAAAATATACAACCGGGCTTCCCTGGTGGTGCAGTGATTAAGAATCCGCCTGCCAACGCAGGGGACACGGGTTTGAGCCCTGGTCTGGGAAGATCCCACATGCCACAGAGCAACTAAGCCTGTGCGCCACAATTACTGAGCCTGTGCTCTAGAGCCCACAAGCCACAACTATGGAAACCCATGCGCCACAATTACGGAAGCCCACACACCTAGAGCCCATGCTCTGCAACGAGAAGCCACTGCAATGAGAAGCCCGCACACCTCGATGAAGAATAGCCCCCGCTCGCCGCAACTAGAGAAAGCCCATGCACAGCAATGAAGACCCAACACAGCCAAAAATAAAAATAAATAAATTTTTAAAATAAAATAAAATAGATAACCAACAAGGACCTACTGTATAGCACAGGGAACTCTGCTCAATATTCTGTAATAACCTAAATGGGAAAATAATTTGTAAAAGAATAGATACATGTATATGTATAACTAAATCACTTTGCTGTACACCTGAAACTAACACAACATTGTTAATCAACTATGTTCCAATATAAAGTAAAAAATTTTTTTAAAAGCTAATTGTCAGGTGCTTACACTACTACAACATCTACACACCCTAGTGCTGCTGTAAGAATTGAGTAACACACATAAAGGACTTAACACAGTGTCAATAAATTTTAGCTAGCTGAAAGAGGTGAATGAGGTACAGCTATAACATTAACTCCATATTCTACTCTTTGGGGATTGAGAAAAGAATAAAGGTCATTTTAAAGGAATACATTTCCCCTAAACATTTTTTACAATTAGAGGTTACTACAGATCAAGATTCTTCATTAAATACAAATATCTCAATATTAAAACTATTTGTCATTTATAACTTACTGCAAATTATTTTATCATCAAAACCATACTTAACAAAGGGTCATCAACATAAGTTCTGATTGCAGCTAGATACAATAAAGGGCATTTGGGGATGGGAATGGAAAGGAATATGAGGATACTAGATACATGAGTACCTCAGTCAAGAAAGAGTAACTGGCATAGAGCTCAGAGAGAGGTGGGAGTATTCCAAAAGATAACTCTACATAGCTATTTTGTCTAAACCTTGCTGTCTCTATGCTAGGGAAAACTATCTCATATCATATCTTTGAAATATAACTTGTCAAGGCTGTAGATATGATATCAGAATAATTGTCTTTTCAGTTCACAGATTCTCTGTATCAAGCAGAATAACATCTGGACACGACTGAGAGAATACAGGGAGAGCCTGGATTTTAAGCCTGATTCAATGACACCTTTGGGTATCCTCACTGGGGAAGGAGAAAATTTATTCTTAATACTGAAGAAAGAAATTATTTGTGGTCAAGAGGGAAAAGTGTAGCAGACTACATTACTGCTCACAAATACTCACTTTTCTCTTCCCAGTCCCTGAGAGGACCACCCCATCTGACTAACACTGGCTTGGCCATATGACTTGGTTTGGCCAATGGAATCTGAGCAGAACTGAGAGTGTGTTAGTTCTAAGCAGAGGCAGTAGGGAGGTATTTCGTTTCCAGCAGCCCTCATGCTCTTTTGCCCTTTACCAGGAGAACATCATGTCTCATATAGGGGGTACTCCTTCAGCCTGGCATCCAAACTGAGAACGTACATGGAACATACAGTTTACCATGTATGTTATGAGCCACAGCCATCTATATGTGGTGTTACAACTTCTCATGTGATCTCAGATACTTTCCTTCTACAGCCTCACACTAACTCACAAGATGCAACCTTTCCAGCGCCCACTTCCACAAGCAAGCTTCAAGACTTTAAGGTAAAGTGCCAAATATATTTCAGATTTTATATATTTTGTTACCATTTAACACGTGCTGTTTTTATCGTTTTTTTTAATGTCACGAAGTTTAGAATGTTATGCCACTAATCTCATTTTTCCTCTAAGCCCTATGGTTTTTACTGCACAATTCTGCAGAGCATAGTGCATTTTAGGAACACCTATTTCACATTATACCACAACTGACTGTATCTTGAAAAAAGAGACACGAATATCCATAATCCAAAGAGACAAGTTCTATAACTGAGCCACAAATGGGTAGAAAAGCAACTGAGATAAGGTGATACTTAACCTTATAACCTGATCACCCCACCGCCAAATACAATCACACTGGGAGATTAGGTTTCAACATACGAATTTGAGGGAGAAGAGATACATTCAATCTACAGCATTCTGTTCCTGGACCCCCCAAAATAATATCCTTCTCACATTCAAAATATGTTCATTCTATTCCCAACAGCCCCAAAAGTGTTAACTCATTCCAACATCAACTCAAAGTCTGAGTTCAAAGTCTCATCTAAATATCATCTAAAGCAGATGTGGATGAGACTCAAGGTACAATTCATCCTGAGGTTCTCCAGCTGTAAACCTGTGAAATTAAAGAAGTTATGTGCTTCCAAAATACAATGGCAGAACAGGCACAGAACAGATATTTAGAAGAAAGGTGTGACAAGTCTCAAGCAAGTCTAAAACCCAACAGGGCAAATTCCATTAGACCTTAAGGTCCATGAATAATCCTCTAACTTGATACTCTGCCCTCCAGGCCCACTGAAGCAGAGGTCCTACCTACAGGACCCACTGGGGCAGCATTCCTGCCCCTTCAGCTTTGCTGGGCAGAGGGTGGGCACCTAAGGCTCCTGGCAGCCCTGCCCTAGTGGATTTGGGTGGCTCCTGTTCTTTGAAATCTAGGTGGAGTCAGACATGCCCCCTGGGCCTGTGCATTCTCCACTAGTGGAGATGGCTTATTCCACCAGTTTGTTGCCTGCACCCTGCTGAGAGGCAGCTGCTGCACCAGGGGCTGCCAGAATCACACCTGGGGCAGCCAAGGAGCTCAGCACCAGCAGTGCACCAGCAGAGCCCTCAAGGTGAGGTAGCACCAAGCAGCAAGCTCAAGGTCTCCAAACACTGGCACCTCCTCCTTTGAAATCATTCTGCCTCCAGGCCCTGTGCTAAGACAGCAGCCCTGGTGGTTTCTGAACTGTCTTCAGGGTCATTGTTCCATTGTTTTAGGTAGCAGCATCTGGTTCCTGTTGAGATGGCTTATCCACACTAATCTTAACAAATGGTTGCTTGGCCACACCCTTGGTGTTCTCTACTGAACAGGCTTTCTCATCTTTTGGATAGGTGGGGAATTTTCCAAATTTTTAAGTCCTGCTTCCTTTTTGCTTAACATTTATAATTATGCCTGTAAGTTATTTCTCTCTAATTATACTATGTTGACCTAAAACAAACAGGCTGCCAGGTATTTTTCCAGAAAAGATGGATTTATTTGGGATCAGCAGAGAACTGCAATCTGGGGTCTGCAATCATGGTGAGCCACATGGAAGCTCCCCCAAGGCAAGGGAAGGAGAACACTGTCCTAGAGGGGAGGGCTACAGTAAACAAGAAGCCCAAGGTTTTTCATTGTTTGAGTCCTTGCCAGGAAAGAAGAGGAGTCTTCTTCCCCTTGGGCTCTGGTATCCTTGCAGACCATGAGAACTCCCCCTTCTGGTCTCCTGATTCTATTTTATTGAGGTTTCTGTTTATTAACTTTTTACAACTATAAGCAGTTAGGAGGGCTCAAGCCACACCTTCAAACCTTTGTTTAGAAATTACTTCAAGTAAATATCCAATTTCATTGCTCACAAGTTCTACATTCTACAAAGCACTAAAACATGAACATAACTCAGCCAAGTTCTCTGACACTTTACAACAAGGATCACTTTTCTTTCAGTTTCCAATAACACAGTCCTCATTTCCACCCGAGATCTTATCAGAATGGTCTTCACAGTACACAATTCTACCAATATTCTGCGCAGGATTACACAGGTGTTCTCTAAGAAGACTGAGGTTTTTCTGTACACCTCTCCTCCTTTCGAGTCCACACCAGAATCTCCTGTTCACAACAATGTAGGCTTTTTCTAGCATGCACCTCAAAACTCTTCCATTACCCATTACCCAGGTTCCAAAGCCACTTCAACATTTTTAGGAATTTATTACAGCACCCCTCCACTTCTCAGTACCAATTTTTGTTTTAGTTCATTCAGGATACTGTAACAAAAATACCACAGACAAGGTGGGTTATCAAAAAAAATAGAAATGTATTTCTCACATTTCTGGAGGTTTGGGAGTACAAAATCAAGGTGCTGGCAGATGTGGTGTCTAATGAGGACCCATTTCCTGGTTCATAGATAGTTCATCTTCTTATTCATCTTCATGCTATGTCCACACATGGTAGAAGGAGCAAAGGAACTCTCAGTGGTCTCTTTAACAAAGATACCAGTCCCACTGATGAGGAATCCACCCTCATAACTGATTCATCTCTCGAAAGCCCTACTTCCAAATTCATCACATTAGAGGAGTAGGTTTCAACACGAATTTTGGGGAACACAAACATTCAGTCTATACCGCTAGCTCAACACAGAATTTACCTTAAATTCTACTTTAGTGATATTCTCATTTTATATGCATATGAAAACACTTGTCAGTCACAGAAGCATAAAAATACATTATACATGTACATTGTGTTAAGAGTAGCATAATTAAAGCACGGATATATTAATAAGAAGAAAAACACTGCTTTTTAACACTTACCACAAGCTTTAGAAGCAGCAACACAAATCTCTTCTGCAACATACTCCCCAGTTGGAAACTTCAGATAATCCCCCTCAGCTTTTCCAAGGGAATGATAAAGATAGACCTGTAGGACTGGATCTATTTGCTTCACAGAATTAGCATTTCCAGGAATATCACCATTCTGATGTACAGGAGATGAGGATGTTCCTTCCATTTCTGTCATTGTAAGGCATGCCATTCGCATGCAGTCTTTTTTCAGAACATTTGCCTGTAAGAGAAACCAAAGTTACAAATGGAAGTGATATTCATAAGTTATCCTTCATATATAAAGAAGTCTTCACTGACAGCAATGACTCTGTCAAATCCATTAACTGAATAAGTATCATGTACAGTCATTTCTCAGACAGATACTGAGTGTTTTGTTCCAGACCAGTGCAATAAAGTCACACAAATTTACTGGTCTCCCAGTACCTATAAAAGTTATATTTACACTATACTGTAGTATACTGAGTATGCAATAGCATTATGTCTAAAAAAAAAATTGTACATACCTTAATTTAAAAATACTTTATTGCTAACCATCATCTGAGCCTTCAACGATTTGTAATCTTTTCACAATAGTATTATCAAAGGTCACTGATCATAGATCACCAGAACAAATATAATAATAATGAACAAGTTTGAAATATTGCAAGAAGTATCAAATGTGACAACGAGACGTGAAGTGAGCAAATGTTTTTGGGAAATTGGCACTGACAGACTTGCTTAATACGGGGCTGCCACAAACCTTCAATTGTAAAAAACCAGTATCGGGGAAGCACAATAAAATGAGGTATGCCTATACTACTATATACAAAGCACAGTGAGAGATATCAAAATTATAAACTTCCTGTGGACAATGACAATAAAACTGAAGCTTATACACTGAGGAACCACAATATAAATATATAACACTAACAGAACAAACAAAATCAGTTACAGACAACAGAAGAAGAGATTCCACAAAGCGGTATGATTTCTCAACAGATTACTCTGACAACTGCTTATTGGAATCTGGAAGGGAAAAATAACATTTCAAGCTGGGATTAACTGATGAGCTTTATTAGAGGAGGTCATATTTAAAACTGTTCTTGAAGCATGGATTGGATTTTGATGGATGGAAGAGAAAGAACGTTCTGGAAGAGTGGAACTGTTCTGAAGAGTAGAAAGATACAAGATATGTTCAATAATTTATTGGTCTGAGTGAAGTATTTGAGAAATTATACCATTTAGGAAAAGATTAAAAATACAGGTGGATAGGGACTTCCCTGGTGCTCCAGTGGTAAAGAATCTGCCTTGCAATGCAGGGGACGCTGGTTCAATCCCTGGTCAGGGAACTAAGATCCCACATGCTGCGGGGCAACTAAGCCCACGCGCCACAACTACCGAGCTCCCACGCCTCAACATGAGAGCCCGTGTGCTGCAAACTACAGAGCCCACGCACCCTGGAGCCTGTGCACCACAACTAGAGAGAGAAAACCCGCACGCCACAACTAGAGAGGAGCCTGCACGCTGAAACAAAGAGCCTGCACGCCACAACTAAGACCTGGATACTTGTAACAAAACCGCAGCTACATACCCAGTATGCATTTTCCCCTTCTTCCTTGATACAAAAGCCCAAATGGGGGGGTATACCAATGTACCCCCCCAAAAAACCTCTACTTCCCCACAGATGGATAGCCATGTGAACCAGTTTAAGCAAATGAGATTTATGTGAAAGTTGCTGGGTGGTACTTTCAGGACCACTCCTTAAAAAAAGGCTGACGTAGCTGTCATGTCTCCTTTTACTTTTCCCCCTTCACCTTCTGTGTGAATCTAAGTATAAAATAGGTAGGGCAGTCACCTTAACACCATGTAACCATGAAGGAAAGGCCAAGAGAATAAATGACCCGGTAACCTTAAGTACTGAATCAATGTCAGGAATCCCCTACCAACCACCAGACACCTTATTACGTATAAGTAAGTGCAATCCTAACTGATACAGTACGAAATAAAAGAAGGTCCAAATGTCAGACCAAAGAGTTTAAACTTTATCCCACAGTCAATAATGATCAGAAAGGTGAAGTGGTATAGTTAGAAAGCTATTACAATAACCTAGGCAGTACTAAGATCCTGAACTGAAACAGCAACAGTTGGATGGTTAGAGGTAATAAAAGAGGAAGACTTGATGCACCATGAGGACTAACTGAATATAGACTCCAGAAGTAAAAGATAGTATGAGGATTTCAAACTTGGGAGATCTGTAATACCATTATTAGAAGGACTTTGTCCCTTGACTTTGGAAGGTGAGGAGAATAAAGACTACTGTTTTACAGACTTTTATTAGGAACGAAAGCAGGGCAATTAGACCAAAATCTAGCTGGCAGCTAAAACAGGAGACTGATATTTGGAAGACCTGAAAATTTGACAACCTTCCTCACAGACGTAATCATTTAAATCATGAGCTACGTGAAGGAAGAGGACGGGAATAATAGCAAACACACTTGCATAGCATCTACTATATGCCAGGCACCGTTCTAAATACAGATATTAAATAAATAAAGTGATTATTAAGTGAACTGCAATATGAAACACAGTTCTACATTCAACTACAAGAACCTTATTCTATTAGAGAAAATACTAGAGTTAATACTTATTCAAGTAATATAAAACTATCAGTGTGTAAAAATAAAACAAAAAACTGGCAATTGTGAGCAAAACTGCCAGATTTTTGAAGTTCCTCTGCATCTGGATATGCAAAATTAAACAATTTTAATTTGTTCAAAAATAGAAATTTTAAAAAATATTTCTCGTACTCTATTACACTATCTCTATTACTCAGCTATAGAAAGCCATCAGATGAATTCTTAGCCATTAAAGAGCAAATATGCTAGAATTTCATCAGTTTGTGCTTACCATTATTTTGGATCCTATGCCTTCCTTTTGGACTCACTTTTTCTTATTGAAATATATATTTTAGTAGATCTCTCAATGAGGCATTAAGGGTTTTTCTGTTGTAGTCTTTGAAATAAATTTTTTCAGCTATACTAAGGTATAATTAACAAATAAAATATTTAAAGTATAAAACATGATGATTTAATATATATATACATTGTGAAAGGCTCCCCCCATTAAGTCAACACCTCCATCAACCTCATGAATTTACCGGGTGGGTGAGGGAACATTTAAATTCTACTCTTTAGAAAATTTCAATTCTACAACACAGTGCTATCAACCACAGTCACGTTATACACAGATCCTCAGAACTTATTTATCTTATAAGTGAAAATCTACCCTTTTACCCATTTCTATTTCCACTAACCCTGGCAACCACTTTTCCACTGTCTGTTTCCTAAACTTTTTAAGATTCCACATATAAGTAATAACATGCAGGATTTGTGGTTCTCACTGGCTTATTTCACTTAGCATGATGTACTCCAGGCTCATCTACGTTGTCACAAATGACAAGTATTCCTTTTTAAAAGCTGAATAATATTCCTCTGTGTACGTGTGCGAGTGTGTGCACACGCACACATATACATACACCACGTTTTCTTCATCTATTCGTCTGCTGACAGATACTTAGGTTGTTTCCATACCTCGGCTGTTGCAAATGATGCTGCAATGAATGTGGAAGTACAGATATCTCTTCAGAATAATGTTTAAATTTCCATTGGACATATACCCAGAAGTGGGATTGCTAGATCATATAGTAGCTTTATTTTTAATTTCTTGAGGAATGCCATACTGTCTCCATAGTGGCTGTTCCAGTTTACATTCCCACCAAAAACTTACAAGGGATCCTTTTCTCCACATCCTCTCCAGTATTTTTTATCGTTTGTCCTTTGAATGATAGACATACTCATAGGTGTGAGGTGATATCTCACTATGGTCTTGATTTGCGTTTCCCTGATGATTAATGACACTAATTACCGTTCATGTACCTGTTGGCCATTTTTGTATGTATTTGGAAAAAATTCAGATCCTTTGACCATTGTTTGTTTTTTTTACATCTTTATTAGGGTATAATTGCTTTACAATGGTGTGTTGGTTTCTGCTTTAAAACAAAGTGAATCAGTTATACATATACATATGTTCCCATATCTCTTCCCTCTTGCGTCTCCCTCCCTTCCACCCTCCCTATCTCACCCTTCTAGGTGGTCACAAAGCACCGACTTGACCTCCCTCTGCTATGCAGCTGCTTCCGACTAGCTAGCTATTTTACGTTTGGTAGTGTATATATGTCCATGCCACTCCCTCACTTTGGCACAGCTTACCCTTCCACCTCCCCATAACCTCAAGTCCATTCTCCATTAGATCGGTGTCTTTATTCCTGTCTTATCCCTAGGTTCTTCGTGACATTTTTTTTTCTTACATTCCATATATATGTGTTACCATACGGTATTTGTCTTTCTCTTTCTGACTTACTTCACTCTGTATGGCAGACTCTAGGTCCATCCACCTCACCACAACTCAATTTCGTTTCTTTTTATGGCTGAGTAATATTCCATTGTATATATGTGCCACATCTTCTTTATTCATTCATCCGATGATGTGTACTTAGGTTGTTTCCAACTCCTGGCTATTGTAAATAGAGCTGCAATGAACATTTTGGTACATGACTCTTTTTGAATTACGGTTTTCTCAGGGTATATGCCCAGTAGTGGGATTTCTGGGTCATATGGTAGTTCTATTTGTAGCTTTTTAAGGAACCTCCATACTGTTCTCCATAGTGGCTGTGCCAATTCACATTCCCAACAGCAGTGCAAGTGTGTCCCCTTTTCTCCACACCCTCTCCAGCATTTATTGTTTCTAGATTTTTTGATGATGGCCATTCTGACTGGTGTGAGATGATATCTCATTGCAGTTTTGATTTGCATTTCTCTAATGATTAATGATGTTGAGCATTCTTTCATGTGTTTCTTGGCAGTCTGTATAAAATATCTATTTAGGTCTTCTGCCCATTTTTGGATTGGGTTGTTTGTTTTTTTGTTATTGAGCTGCATGAGCTGCTTGTAAATTTTGGAGATTAATCTTTTGTCAGTTGCTTCATTAGCAAATATTTTCCCCCATTCTGACGGTTACCTTTTGGTCTTGTTTATGGTTTCCTTTGCTATGCAAAAGTTTTTAAGTTTCATTAGGTCCCATTTGTTTATTTTTGTTTTTATTTCCATTTCTGGAGGAGGTGGGTCAAAAAGGATCTTGCTGTGATTTATGCCATAGAGTGTTCTGCCTATGTTTTCCTCTAAG